TCTTTCCAACACAGCCAAACAGCTGCAGTACAACGAGCTTCATCCGTCCTCATCTGGTGAGATCAACCAACGAATCTCTTCTTCATTCACTTGCATACGAAATGAAAGTCTCCCTAACAATCACTTAAACTTGTTTTATAAGAGATTTTATGATCCAGGGCTCGACTTCGCATTGGTCTCACTAGCACTACCGAAAGGATTTAAAACATGGTGTTCAAGTGGCGATACATTAGAACCCTGACAGCAAAATGTTACAAGTGATCATAAGCGAATGGGGCAAACTTGAGGCGGTTATTAAAATAGACAGATACTAATATTATTGGTAAAGTATGTCTCGAGCCTATCAACAGATATTGAATAAGAACTTTAATATCAAGTATGAAAAATTCAGGGCATATTAAACAGAAAGTACTCATGCTTTGGGAGTGCAGCTTATTTAGAATTTGGGCGCATAGAAATCTCCCTGATTCCAGCTATTCGATAAAAATCAAAGTCCAGCGCAATCACATTCTCCACAAAATGTCTGCCCTTTCCAGTCCGATGCAGGCTATAAATTTATAATGCTTACATTCGTCACCTTCGTAACTTCTTTGTGCTGATGATCGTAGAAGATTTCAGCAGTCTCGAGTAAATGAGCCAGCTTTTCCTGGTGCTCCAGTTTGGCCTCATGTTGTTTCAGTAGGTCTAATAAAGCTTGATAAGAGGTTTCAAGCTAAAATCAAAAGGGAAAGATGTAGTTATATAAATGATCGCTTTGCATAATTCGACTGGGTGGGATGAGAAATTCAACATATAATGAGGAACATAACAGGTCATTATTAGCTAATAAAAAAATGAATTTACAATTTTTTAATGGATTAAAATGTGGTAGTAAATAAAAGTAGAAACATAAAATCAGATTGAACAATTTAGAGTAGATATTAGGACCAAAATGTTGTGACCTCTATTATGCTCACAGTCTTCTTTCGAAATGATCTGACCTCGCTTTCGTAACTTGGTCGTACTATCAGGGGGACATAGTTGGATACACCTTGTCTGATGTCCTGTTCAATAGTAGTTATCATTATTCATAGTGTTGGACTGTGAACTTGGTACATTCCCAGGCGTTTCGCCGGCATTGTCAGTAAGTCTTGCCATTCTAAGCACCAAGCAACAACTCGACAAGTGAGGTCAATGCCTCGACCAACTTTCTACCAAACCTTCAGGTTATCACTCCTCTTGCTGTCCTAGCCCATCTGTCTACTCCCTACGCTCTTACCTGCTTCCGACCTATCACATCTTAACTTGTTTATATTCAATTCCTCAAGGTGTGCCTTTTTTGGCGAGTTTGATGTGGCATCATTACACCTGCTGTTTACCTTGCCGTCACTCTCTCGATTAGCTGATATGACTTGGGCCTCCATCCGGATCTCCCGTGTGGATCCATAGGTCCGTTACGTATCTACATGATTGGCCGATTTCACTCGGTTCCATTCCCAGTGTTCGTTTTATTCCAGGTGCCATTTCTCAAGCCTTTAGAGGCACGTACACTGTTGCCTCACTGATCAGAGCGTCTAGGCCCTGATTCCCATGCTTGCAGATATTAGGCATTGTCTTCACGGGTCATCTTGATTAACCCGTGTATCCTGAGCAACTGGTGGACATCTATCTCTGGCCGTCCGCTGCCCCTCGAGTGGACTTCCGGTCAATCGGGCTATGATGCAAATTTTCTGTGACGCTTGTGATTATCCGTCTTTCTAGTTTTGTGACCGCCAGAGCCCCAAAGTTAAAGTGACTTCTTCGAGCAGTCTACACTAACTGAGATTAATGTAGACTTAAAAAAACTAGAGGCGATAAATGAATCCCTATAAGTTTATTTCATGACAAATGAAAAATCGAAAAGATCGCAGATCAGTATAAATAATATTAGCATTTTTAAAAACAACATTTATTAAAAACGTCGCTATATCTTGAGTGAAGACCAAAGGGGAAAGAATGCAGTAGGCCAGATCCAAATGTGTAGGTTGATGGATAATAAAGGCGGAATATTTTCTCACTACTTAATAGTGTGGAATGGAGATTTATACAAAGTTATAGACGGGCTTTTATCAAAAATAGGAATATCTTAAAATTGGAAAATGAATGAACTATGCAAATCCGAGGTGAATTTCAATTAATTTTTGTATCAATGTCCTTGTCGGTTCAAATTTGATTATATCCCCATTGATGTAGTAGCAGGGAAAATTTAATGCAACTCTTGTAATTTCCTTACAGTAAAACTATGATATGGCCTGAAAGTTCACTAGCTCGATTTTATAAAAATGTAATTATCTTAACAGATATTGATCCCTGAAACAGGTTAAGTAGCATAATCATTGTAAACTCTATATAACTTAATCAAGTAAACTAATAAGCAAATTAATTAGTTTGATAAAGATGAACCTTTAGTGTTACAAATTAAAATATTAGTATGTCTTTTGCATAGCATCACGCAAAATTTAAGCAGTTTCTATATGAACTAGCTAGTAATCTTTAAACAGTCAGTAGATTAATGGTATTAATAATGGATGAGTATCTTACACATGAGTAAGGCATTTCAGCCTCCAAAGACCTATCCATCATATAATTGGCAATCAAGATTGTGGTAGGTTGATCGTAATCATGACGCTTTATTTAAACTTAGTGAACATTTTCACAGTCATTTTAAAAGAGAATATACGTTTTATTAAAGGGCTTATATTCATGTTATGTCCTAAGAATAAGGTTTATTAGATCAAAAATTAAGATAGACGCTACAGAGATACTAACCTGTTGGGACATAATACGACATTCAGGTTTGCTCTTTAGTCGACCGACGACAGATTGTGGAGAGTTTTCTAATCCAAATTGGGTCAAGTCTGGCTCAGTTCGGCCATCTGTCTCCTCCTCGAGTCGATGCATACGTTTTAGTGCTTCAATTAGCCTATCAGGCTAAATTTATAAAGAAAAGTAATGTCTTAAGGTAAGAGACAAATTAGAGCTTGAGATATAAACAAATACGACTAAAGCCAGAATAATAAGAAACAGCTATTCGTAGCTAGCTTTAAGAAAATAAAATCTACCAAAAAACTAAGCCATTAATGACTAAAAATTAGGAATTCTCTAATTGTTTCTACTTTAATAAGAAAGCATAACTAACTGGGCAGATATTTAGAATATGGATGCATGACCAAAAATAGAAAAAGGAAATAATAAAGTAGGACTCAACAAAAATTATTAATAAAAGTTTTGACCTTGGTTTCGTGACTTGGTCATATTAGCAGGAAGAACGCACCTTGCCCAGAGTCAATAGTATCCATGATCATTTCCAGAGTTGGACCGTGGACTTGTAAGTTCCCAGGCGCTCAGCCAACATCGTAGTCGGCATAGTCAGTGAGCTTTGCCATTCTTAGCAGCACACTACAACTCGTAAATAAGACCTGAGAATGTACCAAGTCTATGGTCCGACTCTGGAAATGATCATGCATACTATGGACTCCGGACAAGGTGCGTTCCTCTAAGTCTTCCTGCTAATGTGACCAAGTTGCAAAACCAGGTTAAACAATTTCTATACAACGAAAAAAGACCGCGACCATACAAAATGCCACACCATCCTGGCCTTTATACCTTCAAAAAAGTATTAAAGTTTAGATATTTATGTTTA